TGGCAGGGGAGTAGCTAGAATGTTTGGCACCAGGGGAAAAGATTCATTTTTACGCCCCCCCCCCCTTACTCTGAAATTATTATTTTCATTCTCCAAATACCATCAAATTCCATTTTGGTGCCCCTGCTAGTCTGGCGCCCGGGGAAATGTGTCTCCTCTGCCCCCCTCCCTTAGATACACCTGTGGTCACTGCACTGGTACTGACCATCCGGAAATTGAAAATGCCAACCCCCAACCACCCGAAAGAAATTGAATAAACACTAAAACCGACGTCGGCAGGTCTTCTGTTTCCAGGTACCGTGAGCAAAGAGACACCCCGAAGTCAATCAGGAAGCCACTACAACTACAAGCTACAATCAAAATAGACGATTGATTCCCTGGAAAAACAGAGGCTTTACCAGGATTCCAATATTATTGTATTACAGACTACACTACCGACAAAGTTGCACGGTTTCTATTGCGCGGACCATGGAACGCACGCGTCGTCTCGCTGGAAAGTGGAAACAATTTAGCCTCGGGTCAATGTTGTAACAACGGCAAGGTCCATCTTCCCGCTATTAAACAGTCCCCTGATCCACGCTACAGTCTCCTTACCAATAATAACACCGAGTCTCAGAATTCTTAAACAAATATCAGAAGATACAATGGGTCTTTTCTATATGACGTCATTCGAAGCTAAGAAGATACACGGTTGGGGGGGGGGCATAATTTGATTACGCCGTATAATACTAGTAAACTACTATTTACTATCATCAGATAGTAGAGCTTTATACAAGTTCGTTTCTGCTCGGCACTGTCCTGACATAAAGACCGCAAGAAGACAGAAAAACTATGCCAACTACACGACCTTGGTGCCTTTATATATATATATATATATATATATATATATATATATATATATATATATATATATATATATATATATATATATATATATATATATATATATATAGGGGGGGGGGGGGGAAATATGCCCACTTTAAAGGTTAAAGGTCATGTTTATCACAGAATCGGAAGTAAGTGTGCTACCTTCATGTCCACAAAATCCCTCTCATTTTTACACATATTTTTGATTGGCAATAATGAAAAAGTGTCGGAAATTTTATCTAACCCCTTTCCTGTCGCAACGCCCCGGTTAGTCGGTCAACGTCAATTTTTTTTTTAAAAAGTGCCGCACGATCACAATCCATGCATTAGAGATTTGAAGACATCAACGACAAATGCCCCGGAAGTACAGGAGTTTGATGTCGTGATACACGCCGGCAGAAAACTTGCAGTTGGATAGATCTAACGCTCCTAAAATAAGCGAAGTTGCTTTGGTAAATGTGGGGCAGGGGTTTCGAAATCTAGACATTTTCTTCAGAGCAGAGACCCTAAGTTGATGCGGATCATGCAATGAAGCTCATAGTGCTTACGACATTCTCCAGGAATCAATTATATTCTACCGTGGAGATTATGATTACTCTTTTTGTGTTTTAAAGAAGCCAGTGAAGCTGTTGTTAGGTGACCTCTTATAGAAGACAGTGAAGCTGATGTTAGGTGGCCTCATAGAGAAGCCAGTGAAGCTAATGTTGGTTGGCCTCATAGAGAAGCCAGTGAAGCTGTTGTTAGGTGACCTCTTATAGAAGACAGTGAAGCTGATGTTAGGTGGCCTCATAGAGAAGCCAGTGAATCTGATGTAAGGTGGCCTCACAGAGAAGCCAGTGAAGCTGATGTTAGGTGGCCTCATAGAGAAGCCAGTGAAGCTAATGTTGGCTGGCCTCATAGAGAAGCCAGTGAAGCTGATGTTAGGTGGCCTCATAGAGAAGCCAGTGAAGCTAATGTTGGGTGGCCTCATAGAGAAGCCAGTGAAGCTGATGTTAGGTGGCCTCATAGAGAAGCCAGTGAAGCTGATGTTAGGTGGCCTAAGAGAAGCCAGTGAAGCTAATGTTTGGTGGCCTCATAGAGAAGCCAGTGAAGCTGATGTTAGGTGGCCTCATAGAGAAGCCAGTGAAGCTAATGTTGGTTGGCCTCATAGAGAAGCCAGTGAAGCTGATGTTAGGTGGCCTCATAGAGAAGCCAGTGAAGCTGATGTTAGGTGGCCTCATAGAGAAGCCAGTGAAGCTGTTGTTAGGTGACCTCTTATAGAAGCCAGAAAAAACTGTTGTTAGTTGTCCTCCTATAGAAGATAGTGGAGCTATTGTTAGGTGACCTCTTATAGAAGCCAGTGAAGCTGATGTTAGGTGACCTCCTCTAGAAGCCAGTGGATCTGAAGATAGGTGCCCTCCTATAGAAGCCGGTGGAGCTGTTGTTAGGTGCCCTCTTATAGAAGCCAATGAAGCTGATCTTAGGTGACGTACCTTAGAAGCCAGTGAAGCTGATGTTAGGTGCCCTCATAGAGAAGCCAGTGAAGCTTTTGTTAGGTAACCTCTTATAGAAGCCAGTGAGCTGATGTTAGGTGCCCTCATAGAGAAGCCAGTGAAGCTGTTGTTGGGTGCCCTCATAGAGAAGCCAGTGAAGCAGCTGTTAGGTGCCCTCCTATAGAAGCCAGTGAAGCTATGTTAGGTGCCCTCCTATAGAAGCCAGTGGAGCTGATGTTTTGTGCCCTCCTATAGAAGCCAGGGGAGCTGTTGTTAGGTGCCCTCCTATAGGAGACAGTGGAGCTGATGTTAGGTGCCCTCCTATAGAAGCCAGTGGAGCTGTTGTTAGGTGTCCTCCTAAAGAAGCCAGTGAAGCTGATGTTAGGTGGCCTCATAGAGAAGCCAGTGAAGCTGTTTTTACTTGTACTCCTATAGAAGCCAGTGGAGCTGTTGTTAGGTGACCTCTTATAGAAGCCAGTGAAGCTGATGTTAGGTGACCTGCTCTAGAAGCCAGTGGATCTGATGATAGGTGCCCTCCTATAGAGGCCAGTGGAGCTGTTGTTAGGTGCCCTCTTATAGAAGCCAATGAAGCTGATGTTAGGTGCCCTCCTATAGAAGACAGTGGAGCTGATGTTAGGTGTCCTCCTATAGAAGCCAGTGGAGCTGTTGTTAGGTGACCTCTTATAGAAGCCAGTGAAGCTGATGTTATGTGCCCTCATAGAGAAGCCAGTGAAGCTGATGTAAGGTGCCCTCCTAGAGAGGCCAGTGAAGCTGATGTTAGGTGCCCTCCTATATAGAGAAGCCAGTGAAACTGATGTTAGATGCCATCGTATGGAGGCTCAACATTTTTAGTACCGGTATAAATATAATTGTCCCTAAAAAGTATAAACTGACAACTGGTGTTTCCATCAAAGAAAATGTGTGATATAGTGCTTTCTTGCACGATCTGTTTGTCTGATCTACTACTCTAAATAAAATGCATGAATATCTGGATGGCTTATTTTCACGCGACACACCAACACCCTGCAGGCGACACACTACTGTGTCACGACACACAGTTCGGAAGCACTTCTTTAATTTTAATCACAGCAAAACAAGGTGGTCTCACCCCCACCCCCAGCAGTAGGGGGACTCTGGAGATTATTGGATGCTCTAAAACTAAAAGCATATTGTGTATCCCAAAAAACAAGCCGCGCTACAAAATGGATACGTTTTTAAAATGAAAATCCATATTCGGAAGTATATTTGTGGTTGACACATTCTTAATGTCTGTACTTCAATCCAACTTGGCATCTGCAGAGCAAGAAGAGAACTCAGTACTGGAAATTGTTAACATCTTAGAATCAATATTGCGGTTAATGACAAATAGAATATTAAAGACACATTTTTTGCCTTTATACAATTACGTTAAACAGCCTGACCTTCAAATCAAGGGTTCGAAGGAAGAAGAGCAGGACTCATTATGTATGGTAAATTTCAAAGCGTTTAAATTTAAAACACCATCTTGAATACCGGTACTTGGAAAAATCGATCCAACAATTGTGTGAGTTAAAGAGTTTTGAATGAAAGAACACAATTATTATAAAATATGACGATTTGATTCCTTGTATTGAGTTATTACTAAAGAGGGGTTTAATCATTGATGATGTGAAACTGTATGACCAAATTTTGCAACATAGACATAGTGTCATTCGTCAAATCTGAAGACAAAGGGATTAAGTTATGATTAGTTATTCGAAGATCATGCTTCATGAAAAGTGGATGGTATTTTTAAAATCTTGCCGTAGTATTGATTTTCAGAATTAATAAACACATGTGAATTTTACTTTTGCATTCCTGCTCATAATGCAAACGTGGGGAGTTAAAAAAAATAAAATAAAAAATGTATTTTAATTTTGTACTTTTTTTTTATTTCAGGATAAACGTTTATATTTATATATTAAATTTACTTTAATTTTTAACTGTCCTCCTTTCAAAATAAAATGTTCTCCTTTTCCGACCTTTTCAACATGAAATAGCCCCCTCCTATTAAAGTTGTGCATCTGGCAACGGTATTAAAGGGGGGGGGGATTCTTTCCCCCCCCCCCCCCCCCCCCTAAATCCCTAACCTCCCGTGGCCCCTTGTTTGAACTTTTTTTTTTTTCCTCCTAAGCTACCGTGGACGCTTGATTGAACATTTTATTTTTTCCCTTAGTATACAATAATTGTATATTAATTATAAAAAAAATTATATACTATTTTAAAACAAGTTTGAAATAACAACGTTTAAAATTTCAGCTGAATATTTTTACATCTTAAAATTAAATTGAAAGGTCTATCTTTAAAAAAAAAAAAAATCGATGTGACTGTCAAAACTGTGCTGCAACCATAAATAACATTTAACTCCATTCGGCCTTCACATTGGACACTGCATCATTCAGTTTCCGTTTAGCGACGAGCTTAATTGCCAGGTATATACAACAGTGATGTGATTATTTTTAAAATCATTCTATTATAATTCCTATTTAAAAAAAAAAAAAAGAGCACATTATCATTTATAAGAATAATTACCTAATTCGTAGTGCGAATAAATTTTAATTATTTTATATCTTGTAAACTGTGTATTTAAATAATTTTAATTAATTTGATTTTCCAACTACAGTCTACATATTTATCTGGCCATTTAGCGTAAGACTCACGTACATACACAATATACATAAATCTGTGTTTACACCAGTTGGCAGTTTTCAATTATACATGAGGAGTGACCAAAGAAGCATGACGTCCCTGCTAAGAGCCTTTGGAAAGCATCTCCATAGAACTTTGAATGCCGAAAAAGCTAAACCATGCATTTATATAGCAACAGCAAACCTAAAAAATAGGTGGTGTCAAAGCTGCTCATCAATATCTGGTTATACAGGATCGAATCAGGTTCAGAAGAGCAAGTCAACTCGCAGCCACAGCGGTAAAAGTACAGGTGGGGCGATCTTGGCACTGACAGGAACACTAGTCGGTATGTACCACACATTATTAATCTTATATTTGAAATTTGTAACATTAAACTCAATGTGTGGGGAGTGGGAGAGAGTGTTATTAGTAATATTAGTATTAGTGTTATATTATATTATGACTATGATTGACTATGTGATCAATTAGACACATAAAAAGTAATTAAAAAATTCAAGCCCTTCTTAGCCATCCATTGCCAGTAGGCATAGGAGGACCATTAGGCTTAGGCTATAATTATAATATTTGGACTGATTTCATGAAAATCTGCATGACTTATTTGATTTTAAATTATCTTTTATATCCCTTCTTAACATTTAAATTTTAAAGTAATTAATTTCATCGAAGTGTCTACACCTCTGGTGCGCCGAACACATAGTGCGGGAGATATACCTCCGGCAGGCATGTCACATGACCGCCGGACAACTGTATGGATGGGGGGGAGGGAGGATCTGCTGCCTGGGTACAGCTTATTCTCCATACAAACGACACCATAATATCCTTGAGACAGGTAGATTCCAGAAAGAATCTCTCTCAAACTGAGCCACTTTAAGAATTTGTTATTTGAATTGGAAAGAAGGGTTTCAAATTTTTTAAAATTAAAAATTTGAATGAGAATTGTAATAAATTTTAGAATTTAAATAATTCAATTCAATAATTGTTTCTGATTTTTATTCCAGGAGCGGTGTTGTATTGGAAGTGCAAAAATAATTTTTCAAAATCTTTATATTTTGGAAAAGTGTTTGCTGCAGAAAGTGAACCTGGCAAGATTAAGGATGGCTTACCAACATTCACAAAAGCAGATGTTGCTGCTCATAATTCAAAAGAAACTGGCATTTGGGTCATATTTGGAAATGGTGTATATGATGTTACTGAATATGTTCAAAGTCATCCAGGGGGGAATAAAATTCTCTTAGCAGCTGGAAAATCCATTGAGCCATACTGGAGTGTGTATTCCGTACACAAGACAGAAGAGATTTACGAAATCCTTGAATCCCTACGAATTGGCAATATTGTAGAAGTGTCCACTAAAAAATCTAAAGACGTTGGTGATCCCTATAGAGCTGATCCTGAGAGATCCCCTGTTTTAATTCCTAGTTCTGAGAAACCGTACAACGCTGAACCACCTCTGGAGATGCTTGCTGATGTTTTCCTTACACCCAATCATTTATTTTTTATCAGGAATCATTTGCCTGTCCCATGCATGAAGCTTGAGGGCTATTCTTTGAAACTGGAAATGAGCCCTGGTAAATCAGCATCAATCAAAATTGAGGAGCTGAGAACCAAATTCCCCAAAAAAAGTGTTACGGCTGTGATCCAGTGTGCAGGCAACAGACGTGGTGAAATGGTGAAGGTGAAGCCAGTGAAAGGACTTAACTGGGGAAGTGCTGCAATCAGCAATGCTAAATGGTCAGGTGTGTGCTTAGATGACCTGTTGAAACATTACAAAGTTGACATTGATACTGTAAACACCAAATATGTAGTCTTTGAAGGCATGGATAAGACTCCTGAGGGGGAGCCCTACGGAGCCTCAATCCCTATAGAGTTGGCGAAGATGTTGAAAAAGGAAATTATTATTGCATATGAAATGAATGGCACATCTATACCCCGTGATCATGGATTTCCTGTCCGTGTTATTATCCCAGGTGTTGTAGGAGCAAGGCAGGTATGTAGCTACACAATGATTTAACTTTTCATGTACTTTTCATAGATATGAAATTAAATTATTATTTATTTTTCAGGAAAATTCTTGTGTAAATTGGAGTTAACAATAATTTTTTAAATATTATTTTTCAGGTCAAGTGGCTGTCAAAAATTTACTTCAGTGCAGAGGAAAGCACGTCTCACTGGCAAAGAAAAGATTACAAGGGATTCAACTCCTCTGTGGACTGGGACAATGTTAATTTCGACGATGCTGTATCAATCACTCAGATTCCTGTTAATTCTGCTATTTGTGAGCCTGTAGAAGGGGCTGAAGTAGATGTCAGCTGTGACGAGGTGAGTAATTTTTAACCCTATGACTGTCAAGTGCATTTTCTGTAGTTTCAAGACATTTTAGCATTTTATATGCTCGTCAAAAGTGAAAAAAATCCCATACAAAATGGATTCAGAGACCCTTACAAGTTTACATTTTCTGAAAGTTTTTTGGATAAGGTATCTTATGGTATGAAAATAATTTTTTTATATATATTAATTTTGACGTTGAGAAAGTGAGAAAAATATTACTACTCCATTTCTGAATTCAACCTACCTAGTACTCCATAAATTGTTCAAACTATCATAAAATCAAGTTTTGAAGATACTAGAAGCAATATTCTCTCAGAAAATGTCAAGTTATAGGTGCTTATATGGAAAATTAGGATGATGGTGACATTTTTTTAATCACTACCTTCAAATTTCTGTCATGCAAAATACAAGGGGGAGGGCACGAAACGAGTTCAAAATTTACTTTTGAAATAAAGGTATTAAATCCATTTTTTTATTCAAACTAAACTTTAATGTCTTTTAATCTCTTTCAGGTAGGTCTTTGGGATACAATCCTTGTCTTTTCTGTTTAATTTCCAACCTTTCCCAAATGAATTTGTCTGTAACAATACAACCAAGCTTTGTGCTAAAATTGTCTATATCTGACTCTTATGTTGCCATCACCGCTAGAGCTAATACTGTCATTACTAGCACATAGAATATCTCTGATATCATTGCTGTCGTTTTAATCCATTTGAAGTAATTTGAATAAAGAAAGTATGTTGAATAGGCTGTTAAAATGTTTTAGCAAAATTACACACTCGATTAATCACAAAAATGCCCTGATAAAAGTATGTTAACACACAGATAGAAACATAAATAGGAAGCAAACTCATTTATGTTAAGTTATTCCCACAATAAAATTTTGGAATGAGATTCTCGAAAAAGAAACAATTGAGCTGTTAAATCCTTTGTTGCTTTCCATTTAAATGAGATGAAAACCCAAACCATCATTTTCCAAACTATGATCTACCATAGAAATATATAAAGCTCTGTGTTGTAATTTTTAAATATTGCCTGTCAACAAAAAACAAAGCATGGTAAGGGACTTATGTATTCATTATAGCACAAAGAAATCCTTGTAAAAATCAAATAATTACATTTTGAACGCAAAAGTGATCTTTTTGAAAAATTTTCTTAATATTTAAAAAATTAATTTTGCCTCACCTCTCTTGCAGGTCCTTGTCAAAGGTTATGCGTTCTCTGGTGGTGGTAGAGGAATTATTCGAGTCGATGTATCTGCAGATGGCGGCAAAACATGGATTGATGCCAAACTAAAACCAAACGGGCAAACTCCCTACACATCCTATGCCTGGACACTCTGGGAGGCCTATGTGCCCCTTCCGAAGGGTGTCAGTGAGACAGTTCTGATAGCGAAAGCCGTCGACGTGTCCTATAACGTGCAGCCTGATACAGTTGAGGGCATCTGGAACCTGAGGGGTGTGCTGAGCAATGCTTGGCATAGGGTCAATGTTAAGTTGGTCAAAGGTGCCAGCTCCCCCAAAGAGACCAAGACTGCACTAAATTAGCAATACAAGAATGTCTCTATTTAATTTTTGTTTACAATTTGGATTTGGATTTTTAGTTTGGATTCCTTTAAAAAAAAAAACCTTTCAAAGATTCACATTGCATGGATTATCAAGAAGCAGTTATATATTATCTTTAAGAAAACATATGCACCTCATATAGATTGTAGAAAAATTATCCTTGCAGTCATATGCATATCCATTAAAGTCTCTTTCAAGAAAATCTATAGGCTAGAACTAAAAATAGCTACAAAAAATGAGTTATATAAATAATAATTTTTTTTTACTATCACTGAATATCTCTATAAGGGTTTCTATCCGAGGATCCTGCATGATTTTTGACACAAAAGACTTCCCAGGAAATTTTCTAGCTCTGGAAAAAACACCTTTTAGAGTACGATTTTCTAGTTTCAACTAATGACAGATAAGGCAAAACCTGTAAAAATCTTGTTTTATGCTGAATTACCAAGTTCAATCACTCTTAGTTCACAGATTCTCAAGCATTTCTAAGTTCCGACTATATTCACATAGAAGCAAAGTGACTCTTACCACGATATTTTGGAAACATGGTTTTGAAATATGGTAAATTCTTTGAAAGGAAAACAAATTCAAACCTAATTTTCCAGAATAATGTAAATCATAATGATAGAAATTGTAACTCAAACTTTAAGACACCAATTTTTAAAAAATTATTTAAAAATCATTACTTATCTTGTTTTTCAGCTGGTGACCCCACATAAATCCCTCAGCAACCCCATGTGAGGTCACATCCCATGGGCTGGAAACATATGCTCTAGTAACTTCATTATCCCAAAATGTTCATTTGTTGTCAAATTAACTTGTAAATGTTGACAAAATCATTCCCAAAATCAACAAAGTAAGACACATTCATAGATAGATACATATATTAGAAAGATGACATGTATTATTAACATTCCTAATTATTTTTATTTTAGGCGAACCTCTTTGATACAAATATTTCATGAGGGATTTTGAGCTAGAATTAGTGACCTGTAAAGTATACAAAACTCATGAATGTATTTTTTTTTTCTACAAGTTGTTATATCCAACTTTTGTTAACAGGCATATCATTAGCTAGGTGTCCAATGAACAGTGGGAAACAAAGCAACTAGAACCAAGTGACCAACCTCTCAACTAACCGTATTCCTGTTTTTTTCTTAGACAATAACAATTATAAAATCTAAAAATTAACTCTTTTAAAGTTCAATTCAGTTTATGATATATTTTAAATTAAATAAATTTTATCCCAGGATTTCCTGGGTTTAGGAAAACTGTATTCTTGAGAAATGAGAAACCCTAATTTCTAAATTTCTATATTTATTTATAAAGAAAAAAAAGGGAAAAATTCCTCATCATCAAATTTAATAGTTCCCCTGTTGAACTTAAAATAAGCCATTAACTTCTGTTTAAATCATTTAACCTCATCCCTTAAACGCATACATAACTGTCAGACATGAAAATTTCCAGCTTCTGTTTGAAGTGAAATAGTGTTATCACACAAATGATGCATCAGGCACTCAATGACATGGGTCTACCATGTCCTAAACTGTTGGTTGGATGAAACAGCAAAGAGCTGTGTGAACGTTTTCTATAATCATCTTTTGATTAAGAACTGTCTCTAGGTTTATAAAGACCACAGTAATAGAGTTGCCAGATTTAGTTGTTTGACAATATAAATTTATTTTTTTTAAAATTATTAACAGGGTATATTGTTCAATGACTAGACTTATATTTATAAGGAAAAGGCATTCACTATAACTTTGGAGAAAAAAATCCACTGCAGCCTTTGCTATTTGTTTTGTTAAATATTACCATAAACTGTGATAGGCCCATCCACTTTTGGGGGGATTTACTGCCATAATTAAGATTTATATTTAAAGCCTAGCCTAAACTGTTTTGGTGATGTTGTTTTTTTGGGTGGCTTGAGGGGGCATTGTGAAAGGATAAAATGGTTAAAATGAATCTGCTTACTGAGCATGTCAACAATTTATGTTGACAGCAGTGTGTAAAATAACTCTAAATCAGTATTGTTATGGGAGGTTCATTTGTAATAAAATGTTTGGTGCATAAACTATCGGTTGTATTTTTTCAGCCTTAATATAACATTTAGAACCGAGTTATGGTAATATAGTCATGTACATATAATATACTTGTGATATGTATTGTTTTGAGGAGTATTAAACAGTAGCTTTATTAAGACTGCTAACATTCCATATATAAAAAGCTGAGCATTGATTTCCTAACTAAATTTGGGTGGGGTGGATGTTTTTTTGTAAAACACATTTTCAGATAACCCAACACTCCCATGGAAAGATTGCGTAAAGGAAGTTATTATAACGAATACCTTATTCTTACCTTATAGCTATAAACATATGGTGCTACCATACCGTAGTGGCACTGAATTTTTTTTCTTACTGTGAAATAGGTTGTTACCAGTAACAGATGACTGGGTCTTAAAATAAAATCCGAGGTAACTTTGTCTTTAGTTTACATGCCTGTATTCTGCATTACATGATTAGAATGTTGGCAGAGCGCCTTGTCCCAGTCTGTCCATTGCATGAACATTACCTATCTAAATTTTACCTGGAATGTGCAACAGGGTGGGAATTGTTTTGTGGTGTTTGTACACCTATTCTCCATGTTTATTGCGCAATGGTCTTTTTTTTTTTTTTTTAAAAAGAGACAGTTAATGTTAGGATAATAAATGTTTCTCTGCATTTTGGAAAATCATTGCACTACTGTAAATAATATATAGCTCATATCGTGGCAAAGCTTTGCATCACTTTAATAATTAATGTTAAATTCATTTGTCTTGTCTTAGAGAGATGTTCTATTCAGATTACACTTAAAAAAGATTTTAGATTCTTAAACGTTCTTTCAAGATACTTATGAATTTCAATAGACAGAATCACATGATTTTTACATTATTTGGTTTGCAGTACGAATCCTTATTGTTAGAATTGACTTCATTAATTTCTCATATTAGTTTATGCAAAAACTAAATACATTTCACTGGGATTTGACTTGAATAAATAGGCAATTTATTTTTTAAGTGTTGATTTCCATGTGTTGGCACTTTTGATTTGGAATAGTATAAAGTTTTCTACCGTCACTACTGCCTTAAGTCATGCCATGTTGTTATATGCATGCCATACAATTGTTGCCTTTCTATTTTGTTAACATGTTGGTTAACTTTACAATCTGCTTCTGTGGGTAACTTATTGAAGCTTGACACTTGAAGTTTTGTCCTAAAACCACAATGGGTACTTACATTTTGTTCATTTTTGAATTTATGATAATTTCAATTGATGATAAAATAAATTTTAAAGGACTTGTAAATGTTTTGGCTCTCATAATTATTACTAAGTATTAGAAACTTGTCCTATAACCCATAAAAAATTATGTTAATTTTCTATAGCTTGAGATTTAATCAAAATTCTTTCTAAAATAACAGGTGTAGAAAGTTTGTCTCTCTTAGTTCTTAGCTTGACAACATATGACATGAATCATGTAATGTGCATCTTCAAAGCAATAGTATGGGAGTTTAATATTTTTTCTCCAGATTTTCTTTTTAGAAAGAGTTTATTGTGAGGGGCTGTCTTCTTAGGCAAATTAATTCGGGTTGTCTAGACTCCAGATCACATCAGATGTTACTAGATTGATTGATACGTTACAGTGCTACAGAAAAATTAAGTTCTCAGTACAACATCAGTTGCCATGACAAATTAGTTAAATTCAATATTGCCAGAAAGAATTATTTGTAATGTCAAGGCATTACTACATCTAGAAAGTTCTCAGTCACACCTGGTCCCATTTGGGAATGAAGAGTAACGCAGATCAAGACTGACATTGATTTCGATAAATTTAATTTTCAACTGAGCACAGCAAATTTTAAGTTACAAATGATAAAATTAAACAACCTGAATAATGACAGGATATATACACGAATTACATGAATTTAAATACCTGACTTAATTTCTTTAAAAAGAAAATATCTACCTTTTAAATTTGCACAAGTTACATTAAAAGTGGCAAAATCAAGCTGCCTTAAAACTGATGCCAGTGAGTTCAAATGTTTGGATAGATGTGGAAAGTGAAGGGATTTTCATTAGAAATGCGTGTTGCCAATAGAAAAAACATTACTGATATTTAGCACTAATTTTGACTAGATGTACACATTAAAGATGCTATTAAAGAAATCTAAAGAAATAGGTACAACAATGATCATGACCAAAATAGAAAAAAAAAAGTAATTTTTAAAAACTAATTTTTTTAAAAATGAAAGAGTTTTTAACACAATAAATGCCTGCATTTATGGAAGTGCTAGTTCAAATTGAAGCGTTTCAAAGCCATGAAAACAGTATGAATAATGTACACATTTACTAGCCACAATTTCATAATAACAATCTTATAAAATTTATTCCACATTGCGAGGTGGGTATAAAACGGTAGTTAGTTTAATTATCAAATAATAATAATAATTTTTTTCAAAATGGACAAAGCCAGATTTATTGAACACCTTGATGACATACTAAAATACATTTCCATGCTTCTTTCCTGAAGTTTTAAAACAATATCTGAATACATTAGTTACTGCCAAAGTCGTCTACTAATTGTCGTGACCACATCAGAAACTGACAATAATACAAAAGATAACATAAAAAAAGAATCAACACAAAATGTACATCAATTTAGTCACAGGTATCATCGGTGAATAATAACATGAGCAACATGTTATTAAATGTTAAATTTTAAAAACAAACTAAAAACGTTTATGAAGATGCCTTTATGCATTAGAATAAAATAACTAAACATTAAATAGTAATTGAAGGCATTAAAATTATTTGATCACTGAATTTTTTCCCAAATTGTTTTGGTGATCAGATGGTAAGAACAAATATTTTTTAATGGATTTCTTGTTTGTTTTGATGGTATTCGTCGATGAAAAGAAATATGACAAATGGTTCAGCTGCCTATAATGAGTTTGTTGTTATTTGCAAGTTTAACAAAGCAGAACCATTTTAAACATTTGCCCATTACAGCTTCCAAACAGCAAGTAAATCTAATAAAGAGTTTATGAAAATGTACTTTATAAAAAAAAAAAAAAATTAATAGAAAAACTTTTTTTTTTAAAATTATTAATCAAAACAAATGGTTCAGCTGCCTATAATTAGTTTGTTGTTATTTGCAAGTTTAACAAAGAAGAACCATTTTAAACATTTGCCCATTACAGCTTCCAAACAGCAAGTAAATCTAATAAAGAGTTTATGAAAATGTACTTTATAAAAAAAAAAAAAAAATTAATAGTGAAACTTTTTTTTTTAAAGTTGTTGATCCAAGCTATGCACACTCTGTGATTATGTCAGTCATAATAATTTCAAGGTAAATGCTTTAAGATATTATTTAAGAATGGATATAAAAGAATTAACCAGAAGAAAATGTTAAAAAGTTTGTTTAATATTGTTAAACTTAATTAGAAATAAAATAAAATTAAAATAGGAGCTTCATAGATTGTCAACAAACAAAATATACATAAACAAATTTTGTAAGCTGTTTTTGATAAAGTATTTTGTAATAAATTTTCGGATTAATATTTTGGTGTTAAAAATAACACATGCTTCTAATTCTAATCATTTTGGAAGTGAAAAAGTATCTTAAATAAAGTATCGTCATACAATTATGCCCTTGGTATCACATTCCAACATATAAAATTATGTTTATTAAGCAAAGATATCTAACTTGCTCTCAACAGTCTCTTCTTGCGTACAATAAAAATGTAGAGGATTATTACAATAATGATAATGGCCACAGCAAAAAGCGTTGAACCCACGGTGGCTGGGACGAGATAACTCTTCTGAATCTCTAAAAAAGAAATAAAATCCTAAAGTTAATTTAAATAAAAGACGAAAGAAACGAACTTGAGAAATATCAAAGCTTAAGTCACTTTACCGTTTTTATTTCTTAATTTATAATTATACAGGACCTCATTATTTAAATATGCAACCTTTCACCTTCTGTTAGATAAGCCTATTGAAAAAAGACAAGCAATTATGCAAAACTGCATAAAAGCTATTTTCATTTTTTAAAGATGCTAAATACATCTTGTTCTTACTAATCGGACATTAATGAAATAAAATGTTGAACAAAAGTTACCTTTATAAGAGTAGAATGTGACGTTAAATCCTCCACTGTTGAACTCATTGTCGGCAGAAAAGGCAATCAACACTTCGTTTCCTGAGCTGCGGTACTTGGGCTTCTCATCACCACACCATCGACCTAAATATTTATCCAATTTTTTTTCCAAACCTAAAAAAATTAATGATGCAGTTGTTTGTAAAAATCTAAAACAGATCTTGGCAAAAGTAAATAAATATATTTCTATCAACAAAATAACAGAAGAGTAATAATGCGTATAGATCTACAAAACAGTTGATATGAGATTCCGTTGGTTGAAGAAGAAATCTGCTGTAATTTCTTTTCCAAAAAAATTAAGAGGTAATTCAATCACTAATTACCTTCATAAACTTGAACAGTGTCACTGCAGTCATGCTCCATTTTGGAATGGGTGACCTCTAAGTGTACTGCATGACCTTTAGGGGCTTTGATTTTGTACTCACAATAACTATTACTGTAACAAAATAATATTCACAATATTCTGTGCTAAAAACAGGTAGGAAAAAAGCTAAAACTTAAATGCTTAAAAAATTAGATCAGCACACTGACCCTCTTAACAAATGAAATTATAACTCTTTAAACTCTTTAACATCTTGTTGGCTTGCTAGGCAAGTTACAGAATTTCTTGAAAGTGTTGAAAGATGCCAAGTTACCCCCACCCCCCTCAATATTGGCGACAGACCACACAAACTTACATTGGGTAATACAGTGGGTAATTTGGAGATGTGAAGTGCTGGTGAGTGTTGTTAGCTTCCAGTTCTGTAACCAATTTACAGCTCCCAAGCTCTGTGAGGTTTCAAAATATTACCAGGACAGTTGTAAAGACTTGGTTTACAAGGACAGTTGTAAAGACTTGCTTTACAAGGACAGTTTAAAGACTTACTTTACAAGGACAATTGTGGAGACTTGCTTTACAATTTGAAAATAATAGAAGAGTTAGTATTAAGTATTTGAAAGAAATTAATAGAACAAATTTAGTACTTTGCTATCTTTAAAAAAGTAGTACTTTGCTAACTTTAAAAAAGTGGTACTTTGCTAACTTTAAACATAACGGAAAAGTGTTTTACAGATTTACTCTATTAAAAATAAACAACAATAACTATATTTTGTTTTTCTCCTGTTTGTTCTTAAGTTTAATATTAAGTTATTGATTAACAAGTGGAAACAGTCCTGGGAAAAAAATTGTGGGAACGCACGTAAGACTACAGACCCCCTCAGAAAAAAAAAAGTACAGAAGAGCCTAATCTCATGCATATTTGTAGTACTTAAACCCTGAGTGGAATACATTTTATAATAAGCCCCTAATTTCTGGCATCACATTCATATTTGACTTGGGTAAACATTTGTCTCCTGAGAACCCTTGAACTTCCTAAATATTGAAACATAAACTTAACTGAAATTAACTTTTCACTAAAACCTACTTACGGGGTACAGCGTAGTACATGAGCTTTGCTCCTTCATAGCCGTCGTGTCCATCAGTCCTGAAAACAACAAGCATCTTGGGCCCAGTGCTGGTTAACTTATTTTTCTGTTCCAAAGCTCCACACCATACTGATATAATAGGACTTGTTAAATTGTCACCTGTAATTTAAAAAAACAACAACTATACATAAAAATATATGAAATTGTAAAAATTTTCCCTTTTTTCCCCGAGCTATAATATTTCATCATAAATGGACATTTAAGCTGTTAAATACGAAGAAACCCTATACACATCAGTATATGCCTGGTGTTTGTAACCAGTCAACATCAACTTCCTTTTCATGATGTCATATTCAACTGACGGAGTGAAGGTCTTGTGCTTCAGTTCAGCATTTGTTCACCTGTCCTGCCACTTGAAATTATATGTTCTTAAACATTGGTCACTTGCCTACTAAAAAGAAGCAGATCTGAATCCCATAGTTGTAAACTGTAACACCTGGGCATATAAGCACACCATCATAGCCTATAACATAATATGGTCCTTACATAATATTTACATAATAAATGATGGTATGTTTGTACATAATAAATGTACACCTTGCTAGCCTACGTACCATCATAAACCGTAACATCATCCCCCTCACACTTGTAGGTGCCCTTGGGAACCATCCGGCCCATGAGCATCACCTCTATGGCATCTGATCTTCTATCTGACTGCAGCAGAAATGAGCAGTTC